GTAACAATCACTAATACTAAAGTAACAATCACTAGTCCTAAAGTAACTGCAGTGGTTTACTGGTTGGGCAGATTGCCAGGTTTTCCCTGTCTGGAAATGGCAAGAGGGAAATGTGTGGCGTTCTGGATGCATCCTGAAGCTAGAGAATGGGCTAACAGACTGAAAGAATTACCCACTGAAACAGTAGTTAACTTGGCTCACTGGGATTTTGCTTTCTGTGCCTTTAGTGTGTCTGCCTCACCCCACCCCAATCCCTTACTCTTATCAGCCTGCTTCCCCTCACACACCTTTATTTGTCAGTCAGTCCTACTGGAACATTCCATGAGTCATCTGGTTCAGATGGGAGTGTAGTTTATCTTATAGATGGAGGTTGATTAGGATCCCTGGAAGAGCAGGGAGAGAGAGGGATCAACCTTGATGAGTGGGGTGTCCTGGCGTGAGTTTTCCTGGGTGGTCTGAGGACATATGGCTGCTGTCCTTTAGCACTCAGCTTTTCCTGCTCTGTCCTGTGGTGTGTCTTAACTCAGAGACTTAGAGGAGCTGGTCAGATATCATGAAGAAGGGGGGAGGGGCACTTCAAATGTCACCAGAGGGGATCTTGGGGGAAGTCCTAGCTGTTTGTATCTTGAGCAAGGAAATGGACATGAGACAGAATAGCAGTCATGAAACTGAAAATTCATTAAAAAGTAGAAATAGCCGGGCAGTGGTGGCGCATGCCTTTAATCCCAGCACTTGGGAGGCAGAGACAGGTGGATTTCTGAGTTCGAGGTCAGCTTGGTCTACATAGTGAGTTCCAGAACAGCCAGGGCTATACAGAGAAACCCTGTCTCAAAAAACAAAACAAACCAAACCAAAACCCCAAAAAGTAGGAATAGGGGACGGATGGATGGCACAGAGCATTGCATACTGGAGTTCGATTCTCAACGCTTACCTCAGGTGGCTCTCATCTCTGCAGGAACTTGCACTCCTGTCCACACAGGCTCACACAGACACATAGGCATGGGTGAGGTGAAAGTAAAACCATAGAGTACCCTCCACAGGATGGAAGCAGGCCACATGTGGTTCAAGAGTCCTGTTTTGGGATTCAGGGCTTCTTTTTACCGAAGGCCAGAGAGGAGTTATTTGAAAGGGTGGATCTTTCTTTGGCTGTAGGTAATTGGTTTTCTTTTTGCTGGAGCATGCTTGTCCAATCCTTGGAGTGGTCGGGAACAGTCTGAACGAAGCCTTTCTTGTTTGCTGGGTCTTTCCCTTTAACTCTCTTATGATTCACATATCTTGCCTCACAAATGACTGTCACCCCTGTTAAGTTTTACAGACCACCAGAGGCCAGAGCCTCTGAAGGTTTACACTTAACGTTTCATGTTCTCCCTTCCTCGTGGCCCGCATGCATGTTGTTTCCTAACTTGCTTTCTGCTTCCGGTGCACTCACAGAGCTTTTCTTCCTTACAGGCTATGGCCACACGGTGCCCTTGTCAGATGGGGGCAAGGCCTTCTGCATCATCTACTCTGTCATCGGCATCCCATTCACCCTCCTCTTCCTGACAGCCGTGGTCCAGCGTGTCACTGTGCATGTCACCCGCAGACCGGTCCTCTACTTCCACATACGCTGGGGCTTCTCCAAGCAGGTGGTGGCCATTGTCCACGCTGTTCTGCTGGGATTCGTCACCGTGTCCTGCTTTTTCTTCATCCCAGCTGCTGTGTTCTCTGTGCTAGAAGATGACTGGAACTTCCTGGAATCTTTTTATTTCTGTTTCATCTCCCTGAGCACCATTGGTCTGGGGGACTACGTTCCAGGGGAAGGCTACAACCAGAAGTTCCGGGAGCTCTACAAGATCGGGATCACGTGTGAGTACCTGTGGCAGGCAGCACGCCTCTTCTGTCCCCCATGCTTCACTTTGTCTGGGAACTGAGAATTGTGCCTCAGTGCCTACTTGCTTTCTCTTTGGAGTACTTTCTTTCTCTTTCTTTTTCAAATCTTTTTTTTTTTAAGTTTATTTATTTATTTCATATATGTGAGTACACTGTTGCTGTCTTCAGACAGACCAGAAGAGGGCATCAGATAACATTACAGCTGGTTGTGAGCCACCATGTGGCTGCTGGGAATTGAACTCAGGACTTCTGGAAGGGCAGTCGGTGCTCTTAACCACTGAGCCATCTCTCCAGCCGCCTGGATTATTTTCTTTTGCCCCTGACTTCGCACAGCTGCCTCTCTTTACCATTCCCTCCACAACTCTTATTGCTTAGTTATGTTTCTAATTCTCTGTGTCTACTGTGTTTTCATGTGGGGTGCACATGTGTCCCCATAGAGTTTCTTGCATGTACTTTTGTAGCGGTGTGCATGTGTCCCTGCTTCTCGGAGGACAACCTCCCTGGTCTTTCTCTAGTGCCTTCTTCAGGTTCTTTGGCTTGGCATTTCATCAAACTGCCTAGACTGGCTGACCAGTGAGCTCTAGAGACCCACCTGTCCCCAACGGCCATCTCACCATCTCTGGGATCACAACACAGGCTAGGACAACAGCTTCCTCAAGGGTTTGGAGAATCCAACTCAGAGCCTCACACTTGTGAGGCTCTTCACTGCCCACCATCTCCCTCCCTGATCAATGTCTCTAACCGTGTCACAGGTGTGGTAGCCAATTTTTACTAAATTAACTTACTTTACACTGTTAAATATTTCACACACAAGAAAATAAGGCCCACCCCACCCCCACCCTGGTCACTAACATCACATTCTTTAATTTTCCAGGAGATTTCTCAAACTGGTCAATGACCTCATTTTTATGTCATTCTGTTTTGAAGTTCCCGACATCAATCATTTTTAGGATTTAGTGTGGAAAATGAAGTAGACAATGGCTTTTAGATTAAAGTGCCTTTAGCAGCCACATAAAAAGCCAGGTGTGGTAACAGGTTGTAATGGAACAGATACAGGAGGATCCCACGGTTGCTGACTGGTCAGGGTAGCTGAAAATGCAAGCTCCAGGTTCAGCGAGACGCTCCATCTCAAAAATAAACTGGAGAGCCACGGAAGACATTGAATGTCAACCTCTGGCATCTGCATGGGCATTCACCAGCAAACAGCCTCTCTGAACACATGTGCACACACACACAACACACAAGCTGGTAAAAAAGGTCAGTCATCCATTTGGAAGAAACTGCTTATATTCTGCGTGAGCCCTCCTGTGTGTTCAGGACATGTAGCAAGCAGTTGCAACACAGTTTCCACTTCTGCTTTCTCTCGATGATTCTTTTTATTTGGGACCCAGCTCAGTCATGGCTTCTAGGAAGTCATGGATTCTTGAGCAGCCAGTGACCTCAACCAGTCTTGGTCTTGTTTTAATCCCACAAAGTGGTTGATTAAACTGTGTGTGTCTTTGAATATTTCCATGAAATGGTAGGCTCACCAGGAACAAAGTTGGTACTCATAAAACCCCAGTGCTTTCGATGGCTTCTGGCTACAGTCCAAGCCCAGTAAATATTTGCCAGAGTCCTGCAATGAGAATTTCATTCTCTTTATATTTTAGAGTCTGTGTGTGTGACTCAGGGACCACCCCACAGGCCACCCTCCTTGCCTGCTGACTGCCTATAATTTGATAGCATGGCAAACCACCTCAGAGTGGAGATCTTTTTGTATTAATACTTCTTATATTTGAGATCTTTCTAAGAAATAAGATCACGGGCCTCAAATGAACATTCTTTCTTTCTTTCTTTCTTTCTTTCTTCCCTCCCTCCCTCCCTC